AGTTTGGAGTGGCTCAGCAGTTCAGGCTCTTTGGACACAAGTCTGGTCCTGCGGGGGGTTGTTCTTAAAGCTCTATGCACCAGGAGTCAAAGGATCATGTAGGACCTTTACCATGGGCAAACTGCTTCGTTGCCTGGGTGTGAAGCCAGGATGCAGACAAGACCCGGGAGCGCTTGAAAGCTGGTGGTGGTTGTGGGGAAAGAAAAGCCCAAGACACTTTAACCGCCTCACAACAGCAAGATATGTACCGAGAATTTCAAAATACGCAGAGCACTGCTCCCCCGCACCAGCAGTGCCTCCCCATTTCTCCCAGGATGCTGTGCTTGTGCCCACAGCCCCCCAGGTCACCGTACCCTACTCCTACCTCTCCGTGCCTCATGGTAGGCAGCTGCCCCAGGCCCGGCACTGTGCTGCGGTTCCCCTCCCCAGCCCTGGGCCTGAAGGCTTTCCTGCATCTTTACGAAAACTTGAATTTCTGTGCTCTGCATGCGGTTTCACTTTATCCATCTCAGCCTGTCTCTTCTCATCTGGGACGCGGACCGTGCTTAGGGTTGCCCCTAGAGCATCTGTTGCTGCTTTGCAACAAACATTTCCCTTTCCAGAAATGTTAACGTTGCAGTTGTGTGCGTGATGGCGAAATTCAACGGAAAGTTTTTTTACATAGTCTGGACAAAATCCCATTCCTTCGGCTGCAGCTTTTCCTCATTGCTGCAGAAGGAGTGGAGGTAGAAGCTGTTGTCTAGGGTGGGGGCCAAGGCAGGTGGGGGGAAAGAAGGATTGAGTAAGAGAGCTCAAAGCGGTGTCCTTTCCCCCTTCCTCTTGTGCACACACCTGCACCCACGTCAGGCTGCAGCACCTGCTCACGTGGGTGCCGGGCTTTCCTCTCGAGTTGCTTGCCCTGTTGGCCTCTTCCCCGAGCGCTCCTGCGAGAGAGCGTCGAGCGGGTGCATAGGCTGTGCAGGACGGCTGGACTGCGCTGCGGTGGCTCTCGCTGACTTGCACCAGAACCGGTCGGGCTGCCGTTACTCAGTGGGCCCAGAATAGCCAGAAAACCCACACAGGAAGCAGCCGCCACTCTTCCCGTCCCGCGCTTTGCTCCAGCCTTGCGGCCTCACCCCTCATGCACTTCTGCTTGCCTGACCGCAGGGGCACAGCCTGTTCTCTGCGCCGGCTGCTGGCGCACGCAACCCATCTCGTCCGCACCCCCCCTGCGGGGCTGTACGGCAGGGCGGCAGGGGGGTGCCGAGGGCGGCAGGAGGCTGCGGCAGGCAGTGGCCGAGCAAGCAGTGCTGCCTGTGGAGACCCCCACGGGGTGCACGGCCACTCCAGCTTGGTTGGGGGCAGCTCAGCCTGGGCAGCTCCATCCCTGCATCCCACATGGGCCTGCTCTTTGGGGGAAAGGGTGATGGGAAGGTGATGCTCCTCTCTCCCCACTGAGGCTCTGCCTTATCCCTAGCCTCCCTGGGTCTTCATCTGCTCCTCCAGATGATGGGGTCTTGGAGGAAGGAGAGGTGTGACCTAGCCAGGCAGGGAGCATAAGTAAGGACTCAGGTGACCTGCATGTCTCCTGACAAAGTCCTTGCGCCCTGCTGTGCTGAACTGCTCCCTCCCTCTCACAGCCTTGCCCTGTGCCATAGTCTGTGACCCCTGTCCCCTCGAGCCCGTCTCCCAGGGAGGGCTGGTGGTTCGGCATTGCCTGAGAGGTGGGTGGAGGCATTTCCCCCACCAGTGCCCGCTCACAGGAACTGTTTTGCAGAAGCAAGCACATATTTCAGAGGGGAGAAGCAGCATTTCACGAGTTCATGAGGACACCAGCTCCCCACCATCTGTTTGGGTTGCACAAGGCAGCCCCGTGGGCCTGGAGCACACCCCATCACCACCTCAAAGCGGACAAGGAAAGGGAGGCTGCTCTTCCTAGGAAGTCACGAGTGGCTTTGGCGTGTGGTGTGGGGATCCCCAGATAGCACATAACTCCAAAAAAGCTCTCTAGTGCCAATTTTAGCAGCACAGAAAGTGAGTGGCTGTGATGTGATGGAGGGACAGTCCACTGCTCAAGGGATGGTGACTCAAAGCCTGGTCTGCCGTTGCAGGGCCTTGGAGAGCAGCTCTGGTCTTGGAGAGCAGGTCCTGCAGCACACCGCAGTTACCCATGAAGGCAGCAAACCTATCTCAGGGCAGCTCGGCTGTTGCTCACTGAGGAGCACTGGTGGCTCTTTAAGGGCACATCTTGTGGCCGTTGGAGGATGCTGCTGCCAGAATAATTTGGAGCATTTTTCTACAATGGCCAGGAAGCCTCAGTGTCACACCTCTGCGGGGGTTTGGCACTGCAGGAGTGAATGAGTGAGTTACCTGGGGGCAAAAGGAGGAGGAGGAGAGCCAGACGGGAATGCGCCTGGGCCATTAGGAGCTGAATGGGACTGCTCAGGGCCGGGAGCTGCCTCCAGGAGACTAACGGGTTTCAGGGGCTCGGCGGGGACTGCAGGCCAGCTTGCAGAGCTGTGTGTCACTCCTTATCTTGCTGATAAAAACGACGCTTCAGTTTGTTTTGGCCGGGCTTGGCCTCTGCCTAGAGGCATGTGTGGGACAGCAAACGCCGTGGCTCCGGAGCGACCTCCCAAGCCGCCGCTGCTCCTG